GATCCCGGCGACCTGTATCCGGGTGACCTGGGTCCTGGTGACCTGTATCCGGGTGACCTGGGTCCTGGTGACCTAGATCCGGGTGACCTGGGTCCTGGTGACCTAGATCCGGGTGACCTAGATCCGGGTGACCTGTATCCGGGTGACCTAGATCCGGGTGACCTAGATCCGGGTGACCTAGATCCGGGTGACCTGGGTCCTGGTGACCTAGATCCGGGTGACCTAGATCCGGGTGACCTAGATCCGGGTGACCTGTATCCGGGTGACCTGGATCCGGGTGACCTGGATCCGGGCGACCTAGATCCGGATGACTTGGAGTGTCAATTCTCCACGGAGGATTCTGCGAGAAGAATCAACAGTGACAGAACTGCTATCGCTCTGGAGCCAGGAGAAACGTGAAGTTCGAGATAATTTGTTCAACTCCTGGAACGGAAAGCAGACAACTCATGCAGTTAGATGACCCAAGAGATGCATAATCTTTTGGATTATTCTTCTTTTTGGATTTTTCTTGATGGTTCAGACTGAAAATAATAAAGCAATGTGTGGAAAAACTGAGAAATATCGAATGTTTCGAGTCAAGCCAGAAGATTGTAGCCGCCGACAGAAAACGGCGCAAATGGTCTTTTATAATGGTCGAGATAATTAAGCTCATGGTTCAAGTACAAGATTGGCGCAGACGGCGGCGTCCACCGCAGAGATGCACACTACAAGCTTAATTATCTCGACTCCTATAAGAGCTATCTAAAAATTGTCAACTGATAAAATGTTGCTGATATTATGATAAACATTTTATCAGTTGACACATTTTTGATATCAGTAACAGGAACTAAAATAATTGGGCTCAAAGGGAGGGTGAGGGAACAAGCGATCAATCAGAGCATATACAGTATCCTCCACCACCTTAAATTTTTATGTTTCTCTTTTTCCCTTATTTCAAGGTGCAAAGATCTCAATTCTATTTTCGTTACAAGAATCTTCAAGAAATAATTGACCAATCAACGTCATATCCTGTACAGAGGCCACTTTTTGGACACAGTTCTTCTTCTTCTTCTTCTTCTTTTTGTATGTCGTCGAAAGTTGAAAGATAATATATAAAAAAAGAAGGGATAGGGAAAAATGGTCGATTGTCGATGGTCAATTGACTTGATTAGTCACATTTCATGGCCTGATAAGGAACGGATGTTGATAGTTTGAATTGTGTTTTGTATTGAGAAAAATGGATGCAGAATTTTGGAGGAAACGATGTGTGTTTCAATGATGGGAAAATATAGAATATGTCCGAGAAAGGAGAAACTTGATTATGAATCATTAGAAAGGGTAGAGTATGAAATTATATTTGGCTTATTATACTTTTTGAAATCATTGGAAATTTTCAAAGTTATTAAAACACTATAATGTATATTTTCCTTATATATTAGAGCTTTAAAAATGATACAAAACTGTCAAAAAAACCGTCCTCTAGCTATGATTTGAAGCGATTTATAAACACTTGAAGTTGACGAGGAAAGGTGAGACAGTGTGGGTAGAGGAGAGGGCGCCAGAGAAACTAGAGTGTCTGCACTCTCCCCTTTTCCTACACTTTCTCGCCGTGCGAAATTCAAATAGTCATAACTCGGCTCAAAATGGTCCGTTTGAGCTGATTTTTAGCTCATTTTGAAGCTGAATATTACAGTAACCTGTAAAATGTACACATGTGCAGAAAACAATTCTTGAATAAAGCAAAATTCGAGGTAGTTTTGCTTACAAAAATCAAGAATTTACAAGATGAATTATTTGAAATTTTGAACATTGAAACAAGCTCAGAAAGTCACACACATCTGTCCTAAATACACCCAAAACATAAATGTTTTCATTTATGGATTATGTATAAAAAAATTCAAAGCAATAAATGAAAAATCCTGGTATCCCAAATTGGGAATTCCAATTGAAATTGGAAAAACGACACCTTGTTTTTGGGAAAAGCGACCCAATTTGGATCCTTCTCCTTTTTTCGCCATTTCTGGCTCCTCACGGCAAAGTGACACTTGATATATTGCGTCGTGAATGGTTTCCGGGGAACGGAATACGGCGGAGGGAGGAGGAGGAAGGGGAATAGAAGAATGAATATATTGGGGAGAAAAGAGAGCAATAAGTGCTACTACTTTTTACTCTCGAGAAGATTTACGGGTCTAGACAAAGAGAGGAGCAGTGGATACCTCTAATAGAAGGGCTTCTTAACTTTGAGCCATATTATCTCGGCTTCTATAACAGATATCAAAAAGTTGTCAACTGATAATTTACTTGTCATGATATCAAAAACATTTTGTTAGTTATTAACTTTTTGATATCTTTTTTAGGAACCGAGATAATTGAGGTTCAAGATAGTTTCGAGTGGTAGGAACAACACTTTCTAGGTCTTTAACTTCAAATTGTTATAACTTGAATGAAAATCGAATGAATTGAAATTTGAACATTTCATCGTCTTTGGCAAAAAAAAGGCTCTTCAAAATGAGTATAATATTGATCTAGTTAATTTTTGGATCATGCGCCTTTAACCGCAAAATTGTCAAAAAGGTTACTGTAAATGCTTAGATAGAACCCCGTCCCATACTTTGAGCCCAATTATCTCAATTCCTTAAAAGATATTAAAAAGTGGTCAACTGATAAAATGTTGCTGATACTATGGCATATATTTTATAAGTTAGCAACTTTTTTGTGACTACTGTAGTTTTTGAGCTATGCGTCTTTAAAGTCAGGATATCTGAGAGAGGCGAGACACTCAGCCTTTAAAGGCGCATATCCCAAAAACCAAAATAGCGACTAAAAAGTTGTCAACTAGAAAAATGAAGCTCTGATTTTGTTCAGTATTTTCTGTAATTTTCAGCCAAGTTGAAAAATCTTGAAACACTTTTGTAAGACTTCAAAGCTTACTGTTTTTCACGTTTTTTGTTTTTGTTCAAAGTTGTAAAAACTCATATTTTTTCAAAACAGTTATGGGATTTTGATAGACTCAAAATTAACAGTACTTAATAACTAGAGTATCCCAACTACTACAACTGCAGTATCTCATAGACTATAACTACGGTATCCTTAAGAGATCAAAAAAGTTTGATCCTCAAAACCGTCTAGACGTTCTCTGAATCCCAGCAGGCCTTATGACTTCTAAAATCTGCAAGACGCTGTGATATTTTATGTTTTCCGATGGTGGAGGACACGTTGTCGACACATGGTCGGTTTGATCTCCAAAAAAAAAAAGAACACAAAGATCTATCACTTGAACCATCCCCTTTCTTTTGTTATTCACAAAGATATGGACCCAGAAATGGTTTTGATGATCTTCAGAGAAGAAAAAGAAGAGAAAGAAGAAGACTTGTGACTTTTGTAGGTCCAGATGAGAAGAAAAATAAGTTCGTTAATCTTTTTGGGGTACTGTAGAACTTTTAATTTTTTAACAGTTAAAAAACAAGACTCAAAAACTTCAAATGTAAATTTGGCTTATTATGCATTTTTCAAAGTTTCCTTCAAACTGTCGTAACTTGGCTCAAAATAGTCCGTTTAAGCTGATTTTTGGCTCATTTTGATGAAGAAATGAAGAGAAATACAATTTTATCAGCTTTCATATTTATATTTGCCTTATAGAGCTCAAAAAATGATACAAAACTGTCAAAAAACCATCCTTCTAGCTTGATTCGGAAGGAAGTTACGTGCATTTTAAGTGGAGGGCTAGAGAGTGTGGTGGGTGAAAAGGGACCCAGAGAAGCTAGAGTGTCTGCACTCTCCCCGTTTCCTACACTTTCTCGTCAAGCAATTTTTAAATCGTCAAAACTCGGCTCAAAATGGTCCGTTTGAGCTGATTTTTAGTTCATTTTGAAGCTGAAAATTACAGTAACCAGTGGAAATCTGAAAATTTACAAAATCTTCTTTTTCTGTTCATTAAGATTGAACAAAAAACTTCGGAAAAACTCGAAATATCGAGAAAGGATTCATAAATTCAACTCCAACTGGACGTTTCGCCACCGGACATTTCAGAACTGGTCATTTTGCAACTCCAGACTACATTTGTACCCAGTACACAAATGTTCCAATTTCTTCTTCTTCTTTTATTTTTCTTATCTCTTTGCACCTTTCTCTTCTTCTCCCATAACCGACCAAAAACTTGTCTTCTTTTTCTCTCTCCGAATAATCACACTGATCGCATTCTGATCGCATGAGGTCATTCGGATCGAAAAAAAGTGGGCGGCGCCTAATTTTTTCTATTTTTGTATTCTTGGGTGGAGCATGGGCATTGGGGGTATAAAAAAGAGAGGGTTTGATGCATTTTTCAGTGAAATTCTCGAATTTTCTAAATTTTCTAAAAAAATGAACATCTTCCACATCTTCTCGATCCTTCTAGTGATTCTTGTGGCTTTGATAACAGGTAATTTTTTGAAAATTTTGAAAATTATATTCATTCGAATTTATATTCGTGAGATGCAGCTAAAAATTCTGCACTGACACGTCAAAAAATCAACTTTCTAGCTAAATTTTGAAGCGAGTTATGAGCATTTGAAGTTGGCAAGGTGAGAGAGTGGAGAGGGCACCAGAGAAGCTAAACTGTCTGCACTCTCCCCGTTTTCCACACTCTCTCGTAGTGAAAACTTTAAAGGAGCATAACTTGCCTAAAGATGCTCTGTTAGAGATGGTTTTTAGCGTATTTTTCAGGAGAAAAACAGCGAAATTTATATTTGAAAATTTCAACAATATTTCAAAATTATTTTTCCAGAAAATTCTGCCAGTACCCTTCGGGACATGTTCAACAAAAACATCCAAAAACGACACGAAACCACCGGAGGAATGCAAACGGCCTACTCGAAGCTTCTGCCCCCACATGTTGCTGAAATGTTCCTCAGAAAGCATTTCTAGAAATTCGGATTACTGTACATAGATTTTTGAAAAAAAAACAATACGAGCACCTTCTATTTGGACATATCAGTTCTTCCACCCATCTCAGTCTCTCTTTGTATATATTTTCGTTCTGTAGAATAAACACTTTTGAATTTTTTAGTTTTTTTGAATTTCAGAACAGACTAAAAATTTCCTTTGAAATAAGCTAAAAATCAGCTGAAACGAACCATTTTGAGCCCAGTTACTACCATTTGAAATTTGCACGGCGAGAGAGCGTAGGAAGAGAGGAGAGCGCAGACACTCTAGATTCTCTGGCGCACTCTTCTCCTAGCACACTTTCTTACCTTGCCAACTTCAAATGTTCATAACTTGTTTCAAAATCAAGCTAGAAAGCTGATTTTTGACTGTTCTGTGTCAAATTTTCAGCTGCATCTGAAAATCATAATAAAAACTGAAACTACGAGACTTTTTCAATTTAAATATTAGTTTGAAGTTAATGAACATTGCGAATGTAATGTGATCCAATGCAACTTTTTATTTCCTTCAAAATGAGCTAAAATCAGCTGAAACGAACCATTTTGAGCCGAGTTACGACCGTTTGAATTTTGCATCGCGAGACTGTGGGGAAGATGGAGTGAGCAGTCACTCTAGCTTCTCTGGCGCCCTCCTTTCCAAACACACTGCCTCGCCTTTCAAACTTTAAAATATCATAACTCGCTTCAAAACGTAGCTAGAAAATTGATTATTGGACCATTGTGTGTAAAAATTTTCGAGACGAATTTATCTTGCAGTGGTGGCCTAACATTTGCAAGTTTGGTTTTCTAGGCCACTACGTAAAAATGGCCTAGAAATGCCCTAACATGACCCTGGTATGATTTCTAGGTCATTTTGGAGTGGTGGCCTAGAAAACAAATTTGCAAAAGTTAGGTCACCACTTTAAAATCAAAAAATAAACGAGAAAAAAATGTCAGATCCCTCCCACTTGACCTACATGACTCTAGTCGGTCCGTCTGGTCATTTTACTGTTTTTATTTGTACAGGTCCCATTTCTTGCCAAATTATCTATCGATTTCCCCCCATGCATTGCAAATAAATATATTATTATTATTATTAATCCCACTTTTTCATTTATTGACTTTTTTGGCCTAAATTTTCAATTTTCAGCATTAAATCGCTGAAAAATAGCAAAAATCCTGTAGAATTTTTCATAAAATTATTTTCAGCTTATTTTCTTCTTGATTTTTCCCTATTTCCCGCATTTTTTTCACTTTTCGCAGAAAAATTGTCAAAAAACTTGAATTTTCTGAAAATCTCGATCAACTCATGATGTTTTATTGTATAGGACAAGAGTTCAACACCAATAAAAGGGGGGATTGTACAGAGGGGATAATAGAGCAAATCAATAGAAATCTGGATGAGATAACAATGATAACAAGCGAACGATGATAATTATAACAAAATAATTATTAAAAAGACCAAAAAAGGGGAAAACGATTAAAAGTTTAACTGAAAAACAATATTTAAATACCAAAAAAACTAATGAAGATAACGACAGGATTCTGGTCCCAATGGGCATCCATCGGGATGGTTCAGCGACATCCAACACGGTTGTTTCGGGCGATTCGTCGCTTCTTGTTTCTTCGGATTCGTCTGTTGACGACGAGAGACAACCGGTTGACGGAAGTCACGAAGACGGGCCGTCGCTTGGAAGACCTGAAAATATTGATTTTTTAATTTTCGAAAAAAAAGTGATTTTTAGGCAAATTTTCAATACTTCTAAGGCGTTTCTAGGTCAACTTTTAGCGTTTTTTTTTCAAAAATTGCATTTTTTCCCTATTTTCTAAATTTTTTCAGGATTTCTAGGTCCAATTAAAAAATTTTTACAGAATATTTTAAGGGCTTTTCCATGTCAAAAAGACTACAAATTAACTAATCTTCTCTTCATTACACTCATTCCTGTAATTAGGTGATGTGCTCACGTGGAAAATTTGATGGTGATTTCTGAGGAACGTCTGCAGTCCGCCGTCCTGATCCTTCATCAGCTTCTTATCATCGTCAGTGAGCTGGCCAGCCAGCTGGGCCAATGGAACCTCGCCTCCGCATCGCCAACCGCTGGAAATTTAGAATTTTTTGAGATTTACGAGTTTTTGGATTTTTAGAGTTTTTTGAAATTTTCTGGAAATTTCGAGATGTTTGATTTTTCGAATTTTTGAAACTTTTTGAATATTTGAATTTTCAGAAATGTTGAATTTTCCAAAATTAAGAACATTCAAAATTAAAAAACTTTTGAATTTTTAAAAATTCAGAATTTCCAGAATTTTTGAGTTTTTGAATTCATGATTTTTCAAAAATTTATAATTTCTGTATTTTGAGGTTTTTGGAATTTTTGAAAATTTTGAAAACTTGCTTTTTCAAAGATTTATAATTTTACAATTCTCGGAAATTTAGAGTTTTCAAAATTTTTAATTTTTGGATTTTTTGAAATTATGCATTTTTTATTTTCTCCATTCTTGTAACGGGCCGGGCTTTTTTCCAAATTTCAGAGGCCCGGCCCGGCGGGCCCGTCATTTCACAAGTTTTGAAAATTTTAAAAAACACATAAGGGGGGACCCTTATAAGGGGAGACTCTTAATCCAAAAAAAAAAACGAAAAAAATTGGAGAAAATAATATTAAGAGCTCAAAATTTGGCTCAAAAATACAGAAACAATTAGATATTTTGTATTTTTGGAACTTTTGAAATTACGTATTTTTTGAAATTTTGAATTTTCAGAAAATTTTTGTGTTTTTAGAATTGTTCTATTTTTGAATCTTTGAAAATTTTGATCTTTCAAATTTTCAAAAATTTAGAAGTTTGAAGTTTTGAATTTTTGAAATTTTCGAATTTTGGAATTCCAAAAAATATATTTTAGGCATTTTGTGTTTTCAGATTTCTTGATATTTCTGAATTTTTTTGAAAAAAATTGATTTGCTTAATTTCTCAAAACTTTGGAATGTTAGAATTTTTAGAAAATCTTCTTTTTGTCTGAAAAAATAAACGTTTTCATTTTCTTTCAATTTTCAAACAGGCCACGCCCACTTTTCCACTCAAAAAAAATTCAAAAACTCACTCTCTAACGTCATCAGATGCATTCAAGATGAAATCGAACAGCTTCTTGGCTATCCGCTCTCGATCCGTCACCGAAATGTGCATACAATTGTTATTTCTAATCTCTCTGGGTCTCGCCACGAACTTCTGTCCCTGAGTCATGTGCTCAATGGTTTGTTCGAGTGATGGACACAATCCTTTTTCTGGCACACGTCCAATGATACAGAGCTGAAAATATGGGGGATTTTGAGGTCAAAATGAGCATTTTAGCACATTTTTTTGGATCAAAAATGGTCAGAGGGGACCGAAAATGACCAAAAATTAATATAACAAAATGTGTAGAAAATGAAAAAATGAAAAAAACTCAAAAATCGCTTTAAAAATCAAAAAATTGGAGATTTTTTTTGCGATTTTTCAATAGAAAAATAGATTTTTTTTCATCGATTGTTTGAACCTTTTTAGGGTTTTCAGCTATTTTTGAAAAATTTTTTTTCGATTTTTCCGAATTTTTCCGTCTTAAATTTGGTGGAATGGTGTAAGGGAAGATTACTGTAGATTACTGTAGTTTTTTTTAAAAACACAATCACGTAGAAAAAAAACTACAAACTACAAGATGTTCTACAGTAATCTACAGTAACCAAACACAGTTCTATGAAATTTCAGACGGAAAAATCGATAAAGAAACTTCGAAAATGGCTGAAAACCCTAGAAAGGCCTAAAAATTTTGCGAAAAATCGAAGAATCGAGGATTTTTGTGGTCAAAATGAGCATTTTGGTACAATTTTTGGGTCATAAAAGAAACATTTGAAGGTCCAAAACCTCAAAAAAGAGCGTTTTGACACGATCTTGGGGATAAAAATTGTCAGAAAACCCACTCTTTTCGTGCTGGGAATCGCCAAACGGTCCATTTTGGTATCAAAACCGAGTCTTTCGGACACAGAAACGGTCCATTCGAAGAAGGATTCGTATTGAGATGTCATTCGTTTCGGTCCCAAATGACTTCCATTATTCAGATATTTGCCGAAAAAGTTGTACGGGCAGCATGGGATCAGGAAGAAGTTGCAGTTTAGTCTGCAAAATGTGCTCTATTGAGAATCGGTCGAAAATTTGAATTATTTGAGAAAATTTGAAATTCTGAAACTGAAAACCTGGAATTCTAAAATTCCGAAAATTTGAAAATTCAGAAATTCAAAAATACAAAAATTCTAAAATTCAGAAATTCTAAAATTCGAAAATACCAAAAGTCTAAAATTCTGAAAAATTAGGAAATTCTAAAATTCTAAAAATCTCAAATTCTGAAATTCTAAAATTCTAAAATTCTGAAATTCCAACTCTAAAATTTCAAAAATTCTGAAATTCGAAAATTCAACGACTAGAAAATGCGCTCTACTGCCAAATTGCTCAATTAGTGGCCCTAAGGACCTAACAAGCGCGCTCTACTGCACTCACTTCGCCGCCATAACCGGAATCCAGGGTGTGAGCTCATCGCTGTGATTTCCAATCAATAAATCCACGTCAGCATCGAAATGCGGGCGATTCTCAACGACAATCTGCGGATCAACAGGCGATTCTCGAAGATCCACGTGGCTTAGAGTCGTCTTCCAGACTTTTCGAGAACGAACGTCGACGCCGTAGCCGGGAATCTGGAAAATTTTGGATTTTTTAAGAGTATAGAAGCTGAGGAATCTAGGGAATGAATGGTTAAAACGGGTCAGAACAGAGCTCAAATTCTTAATTTTCAGTTTTTTTTTTGGTTTTTCCGTTAAAATTCAAAAAATTTTCAGATTTTTTGAGCTGAAATTCGTTAAAATTCTGAAAATGTTTAGACTTTCTTTTTGAATTTGGCGCCATTTTCGAGTTTTTGGGCTGAAAATAAAGAAATTCTGAAAATGTTTAATTTTTTTTTGAATTTGGCGAGGTTTTCAGAATTTTTTAAAGCAGAAATTCGTGGAAATTCCAAAAATTTTCAGATTTTTTGAGCTGAAATCCGTTAAAATTTCGAAAATTTTCAATTTTTTATCCAATTTTGGCGCCATTTTCAGAATTTTTGGGCTGAAATTTTGAATTTTTTACAATTTTTTCTTCGAATTTTGCGGGATTTTCAGATTTTTTGGGCCGAATTTCGTTAAAATTCCGAAAATTTTCAGATTTAAAAAAAATCTGAAAATGTCCACAACTTTTTTAGGAATTTGGCGTTTTTTTTCGGATTTTTTTGAGCTGAAATTCGTTAAAATTCCAAAAATTTTCAGATTTTTTGGGCTGAAATTAAAAAATTTTTTTGGAGATTTTTTCTTCCAAAATTCCCCAAAATGCTCACCCCAATCTTATTCAACAAGTGCACCAAAAGACCATTTCCACATCCGATATCCACAAATTTCCGAGGTTTTGGGAGGATTCCACTAGTGATGAGCTCCTGAAAATAGCAGGCTACAAAGACTACAAACTACAAAAAATCCTGTAAACAGCTCCTAGAAAAAATAGTGAAAATTGAGCTACAAAGACTACAAGAACTACTAAAAATTCTAAAAAGATAGCCTAGACCAGGGCTGTCAAACGGCCGGCCGCGGCTGGCCTCCCCCACGGCTCGGCCGGCCGTCGTTTAAATAAATTAAGACGCAACTATAAGTTTTCAACAAAAACATTATTTTTTCTTTCTGAATTTGAGCAGAGTTTTGGCAAGTAATTTCAAAAATATGAATGATGGAATAAGAATGGAAAAATGTAGAAAAATTCAAATTTTACAAATTATGACTTTTATTCAATTTTCTATCTATTGTTCTCATGGGTCCCAAAAATAATTTTTGTTTCATGTTAGTTACACTCTTTTGAAACATTACTATTTTTAACCGATTTTCCATGTTCTGGTGACCCTTTTCATTTCGAATGAAGTTTCCCTCGGCCCCGTTGTCGCTCCCAAAAAAGAATGAGCCGCGGCCTCGGCCGGCCGTCATTTTCGACAGCCCTGGCCTAGACTACAAACTACAAAAAACTGCTCCTGGACAAAGAAGGGCTAAAATTTTCAGATTTTTGAGTGAGAAATTACAGAAAAGCTCCTGAAAATAGCTACTGTCTATTGAATAAAATGTGGGTCTCTCTTACCAACATATTTACTAATTTAAGGTTTTAGATAATATAAGCAATGAGTAAAAAAAAGAAAATAAATACAGTGATCCCTTTTATTTATTTTGTTAGTCTTTTGTGTCAATATATGTATTTTTCAATTTATGCATGTTCACTTCATTTAACTCCAAGTTCTACTGCTTTAACCTCAGTCTATTGATATATATCCTTTATCTTTATTTTTACTGACAACTTATTTAAATAACATTGTGGAAATCTTGACTTATGTTGTGCACAACACTTGTAATGTGCCAGTATATACATACCTACTTTCACACACACAAAAAAAAAAGTTAAATATCCCATTATTTTTGCTG